AAGGAATAGTTCAGTATCGAGTTTCGAGTCCTCGGTTCGTGCATTTCCAGGGATTACGATTAATGCCGGCGCAAAAGTAACTAATTAGCTTAGTAACGAATAACGAGTCCTAAATTCAAATGGTAAGCGTTACTTCGAGTCCTCGTAAAGTAACTGTTACTTTGTAACGATTACTTAGAATTTTTACATCACTAAACTACATAATAATAAAGTGCAATATTTCAATTCTGTCCCTATTACAAGGAAATCTGTATTCCGGGGCGTAACTAATGTATGCGAAAAACCATCGTCTACAATACAGATAAGTTTTTTTTAGGTGTCTGCTAATCAAAGATTATTGTAAATATCAGAATTTAATGCTCATTACTTTCTATAGGTAACGTACTGGTATATGTAAAGAAGTATAATGTTTAATAAGAATTTTTATATTATAGCAACAAAAAATATAAGTTAATGAACAAATATCTTGTAGAGATTTTATTAAGATTTGATTATATTTTTTTATATATATATTTAAAGGAGGATTCATTCAAGGTCAATTGGATTTTTGAAGATTTAGGTTAATTAGTAGTAAGTTATTTATTTATACACCAAAACAATGTCTGAAAGAAAATCCTTCTACATCCTTTATTAAAATTAAATTTAAAAGTTTTAAAGGAAACTTTAAAATTTTAATGTTATAATCCTGTTTTAACGTTATAAACCTGCTTTACTAAAAGCTTTACTGCAAACTTTTAGAATAATTTATTTTCTTCGAAAATCTAATCTGATACAATAATTACTTAAAATACACATCTTAAGCTCAAACAGTTGGTGTTAAGCTTGTGTTAATTAGAAGGAAAATTATTTCAAAAATATCATCTTATAGCCTTATAATATCCCCTCTTGTCAGCTTTATCATAGCCCTCTTATAATTATTATCATCTGCCAAGTTATGCAGGGTGAGTAATTCAATAAGTGCAAATATTTTTAGGGGTTTCGATCCTAGGGACACGTCTATGAGGATTATTCGCCAAAAAAATTGAACTTTCCAAAAATCAATTGGATATATTTTTTTTATTTTCTATTAAAAAATATATAAAACTACTTAAAACAATTATCGCATATTTTCTAAACAAAAATATTTATTTGAAAAACAAGACACTTTGAATTCTCTGACTTACGGTTCTAAACAGTTTGAATACTGTAAAGGGAAATATTTGAAACAATAAGCCTACGCGCTGACATGCAATTTTTAGTCCACCGACTACATATTTAGTTGCAAAAGTGAAAACAATATATACAGGGTGGCGCCTCTTATACGCCGCGAAGGCTCCAACGAGAATAGAAAGTTTGTATTGAAATGAAATTTTGTGAGCATATGTAGGTTAATTCAGAGCACTTTTTAAAAATATAGAGAGTTCTATAGGGTGTCCCCAAAAAAAGTTACACATCAAAGTTTTGTTTTTTGTAATGGAACACTATATACAGGGTTGTTCACCACATACGACACGGAGTATTGTAGCTAAACGATGAGATTTTTACAAATTGTAAGTTTTGGGTTCGATGAAGGACTATTAGAGGTACAATTTAAAAATAATTTTACAAGATACAGAGTGTCCCAAATAAGTAAAAAATATTGTATAAAAGTAAAAAATGTTGTATTTTTTTAAATGGAACACCCTGTATATTATTAAATTTTTAGTTTCTACGATTAAAATAAAGGTAAATTTGATTAAGATTTATTATACTTAAATCTTACCGTTTTTGAAATATTTTCAATTTTGTGAAATTGCAGTAAAAATTTTAAGGCTTCATTTCTCCAAGGGTATCAAAGTTTTTAATACTAAATATTTACTGAAGTTTATTTACTGATCAGTTATTGTGTTGCAATAATAAAAATAACACTACCTTATACAGAGTATCTAAAAATTTATTTTAAATAATTATTAGCTTCAAACGGCAATAACTTGTTTAATTTAAATGGAACATCCTGTATATTTTGCGAAAATCAGATGCACAATTTAATTGTCTATCAAATTATATTATGCCATTTTTACCTATCTCTTTAAGTTTCCATAGAAAATGCATTTTCTTGTAATTTAGAACTTATTTATCAATATACCCATGGACTATTGACATTTTAGATTATTTTTAAAGATGTACCAAATTTTTAAAGAGTGCAGATACTAATATTGTCGATATAATTCGTTTATTTCATTAAAAAATAAAAAAAAAACTGTTTAAATATTTGTTAAAGAGGATCAATTAATATGATTCTAGTATTCAAACTACATTAACTGACTGTTTGCTTTGATTAATAATAATTGCTCCAAATACTAAAAAACTGAATTTTGTATGGGCATTAGACAGTGTGATAAAAAGTAACACCTTAAAAATGATATTTCATTTTTTAATAAATGCTTATTTATAACTACAGAGACTTTAATTTGATAACTTATTATTATATTGATTTCTGACTCAAATCCACATTTATTTATAATAATTTAATAACGAACACAATTAAGTATGTAATTAATTAGTATATGGGCGCAAATAATGGTGTTATATTTAATTAATGGTATACTCTTTTATAAAGATTTAAATAGTTTTCTTTTTGCATACAAATGGGCTAGTAATATTATCGTTTTGCTAAAAACGATAATATTACTAGTCTGTACATTTTGTACATTTGTTGCTTTAAAAACAATCTAAAATGTCAATATTCCATTGATATATTGATAAATGAGGTCTAAATTATAAGAAAATGCATTTTATACGAAAACTTGAAGGGATAGGTAAAAAATGGTATAATACAATTTGATAGACAATTTAATTGTGCATCTGATTCTCCTAAAATATACAGGGCATTCTATTTAAATTATAGAAGTTATTGCCGTTTAAAGCTAATAATTATTTAAAATAATTTTTTAGACACTCTGTATAAGGTAGTATTATTTTTATTATTGCAACACAATAACTGATCAATAAATAAACTTCATTAAATATTTAGTATTAAAAACATTGATACCCTTGGAGAAATGAAGCTTTAAAATTTTTACTGCAATTTCACGAAATTGAAAATATTTCAAAAACGGTAAGGTTAAAGTATAATAAACCTTAATAAAATTTACCTTTATTTTAATCGTAGAAACTAAAAATGTAATAATATACAGGGTGTTCCATTTAAAAAAATACAACTTTGATATTTTTTATTTATTTGGGACACACTGTATCTTGTAAAAATATTTTTAAATTGTAGCTCTAATAGTCCTTCAACGAACACCAAACTTACAATTTGTAAAAATCTCATCGTTTAGCTACAATACTCCGTGTCGTATGTGGTGAACAACCCTGTATATATTAATTGATTTTCGGATTCTGGGAGAAAAATAAAGGTGAGTTTTATATGAAACGTATATGACTAAAATGTAAGGTTTTTGATGTACTTAACATTTTCTAGAAATAAAGAACAATTTTTAAATTACAACAAAGGCTAAATTGCAATTTACCCGATATAGTCTAATATGTCGTTATATTAACTATTGTACTTTAAATCAAATTAAAACTTGATCCATAATGTTATACAGTGTGAGACAAAATTAACATTGAACATTGGTCGCCTTTAAAAGCATGATACTCTTTTATTTTAAATGGAACACCCAGTATATTAATCCTCCATTATTCAATGGAGAATTAATGTCTCTTCAAATTACTATTATATTCGCGTCCAGTCCGAATGTATTATCTTGATTTTTCTATACGTAGTACCGTCCCTGCGTGCACAATTTTAAAGCTATAAGCTAAATTCCCTCCCGCTACCAGTCTAGGTAGTCGCGCCGGCCCTGGCGCGGCGGTCGGTATTCATTCGTCTTTCGTGCACGGTGCAGTGCGGATCGTAGCTCTCCGATTTCTTCGTCGTAGATCGATGAAGCCATTTTGTTTATTCTCTACTCATTTTGGATATTACTATGTAATATACGGTGTTCTACAGCTAGGTAGAACACAAGGAACAATAATAAGTATTGTATAATATTTATTTTTAGAGAAAAACGAAGTGGACGTAAATAACGGAATATTAGAATTAGATAAAAGAAGAAAACAATAAGAATATTATATATATCGGACTGTTGTACTCTCAGTGAGACAAAGTTCGTACGTGTAAAGAATGTCCTTCTCCTTGTAAGAGGAATTCTCATTTATATAAGGTTCTATATCTCGCAGTCAAGAGAATATTATAAATGCCAAAGTGTTGCATCTCCGAGTGAGTCAAATTTCGTACTTTTAGAGGATGGCCATATGAGAGAGATTCCTTTTATAAGTCAATATTGATATCCCACTATCGAGAGATAAATTACAGGTATCACAGGTAAGTATCTTATAATATTTATTTTCAGGTAATTAAATAATGGACGGAAATAATTGAAGTGGAAGCAAATCTCTAAATGTAGAAATTAGAGGCAAGGAGGAGACAATGGAAGTAGACAAATGGAGAAAGCAATAAGAATATCGTATATATCGAACTATTGTGCTCCCAGTGAGACAAAGTTTCCTATTTAGAGAATGCCCTTCTCCTCGTGAAAGGGATTCCTATTATATGAGGTTAGAAATCTGGCTATCAAATAATATTATAAATATCGAACTGTTGTTTTCCCAGTGACGCAAAGTTTCCTATTTATAGAGAACGCCCTTCTCCTCCTGAGGGGGATTCCTATTGTATGAGGTTCTAAATCTCTCTATCAAGAGAATATTATAAATACCGAAGTTGTGCCGAAGTGTTGTATCACCCAGGGAGTCAAATTTCTCATTTTTCGAGAATGGCCGTCTCCGTGTGAGGGATTCCTTTTATAAGTCATTGTTGATATCTCCTATCGAGATATTAATTACACGTATTACCGGTGAGTATCTTATAATACTTATTTTTAGGAAATTAAATAATGAATGGAAATAATTAAAGTAAAAGCAAATTTCGAAATATGGAAATTAGAGGCAAGGAGGAAACAATGGAATTAGACAAAAGAAAAAATGAGAATAACATATATATATCGAACTGTTGTCCTCTCCGTGAGACAAAGTTTCGTACTTACAGAGAATGCCCTTCTCTTCGTGAGAGGGATTCCTATTATATGAGATTCTAGATCTGGCAATCAACAGAGTACTATAAATGCCGAAGTGTTTTATCTCCCAGCAATGAAATAAGGTATGAAACAAAATTTTGTACTTTTAGAAAATGCCTATCTCTGAATGGATTTCTTTTTTTATGAGATTTTAGATCTCACTCTCAAGGGAATATTATTTATATATTTAGGTGCCAAATATTTGTATCTCCCAGTGAGACAAAATTTCGTACTTTTAGAGAATGCCCATCTCCGTGTGGGAGGGATTTCATTTATACGTTATCGATAGCCTTATCGAAAAATTAATTACACGTATTACATGTAAGTCTTTTAGAATATTTATTTTTAGACGAATATTGGATGGAAATAAATAGAAGTACATCCCGAAATGTGGGGATTAGAGGAAAGGAGAAAACAAAGGGATGAGGAATATTGTATAAACACGGGCTGTTCTTCTCCCAGTGTTCTTTTCATAGCGAGACAAAGGTTAGTACTTTTAGATAATCCTCTACTCCGTGTGTGAGGGATTCCTTTTTTAAGATATTCCAGAGCTCGCTATCGAGATAATATTATAATAACCGAAGTGTTGTTGTCTCAATGATACAAAATTTTTTAATTTTAGTGAATGCCCTTCTCCGTGTGAAAGGGATTCCTTTATAAATGACGTTCTCGGTCTCGTTATCGTAGAAGTAGATTTCACAAAAGAATTTCAAGTGATAAATCTAAAAAAAAAAAACAATATATTTCAACAGGAAAACTCCCCCACACATTATATTTATAAGGCTGTACATTCAAAAAGCAGGACAGTCGTTATTTAAGTGTCACTATCTCATAACAGATCGAACACAAGGTCAGCAACTAGGAAGAGGAAAATAACCAAATCTAGCGATTTGTGCAGTTTGCTGGGGGAAGGGCAATCCAAAGAGACTACAGAACATTCGACTCTTCGACGAACTCTTCGACCATTCGACATGATACATTCTTCTTCGGGAGACGAATTCAGTCTTAGCCAATGATCTGGCTTTAGCACAGAACAAGGTCCAACTTTTATATCTGAGAAAATATTTTAGCTCCCTAATTTACCAAGGAGTCATGGCATGTCGCCTATCCTCTCCTGTGTCATAATTGTTAAGATGAAGTCCAGCATATTTTCGAAATCAAACTCTCTCGAAATCAAAAAAAAAAAAATCTGGGTTATAAAATTTAACAATAGTCGTCGTAGACTTAATATTCTTTTAAAGGAAGAGAAAAATATTCATAAATAATCATGGAACAAATATGGACGGTTGTTATAGATACCGGACGCATAGTCCTAATGTGGTTGACGGTATCTTGTACGAAAGGTATCAACTATTTTTCCCTCTGAAGGATTTTCAAATGAAAATCATGAGGAAGAAGGACCTCTGGATAAATTTGCGTTTGAACCTTGCTTAGAGGAAAACATACAAACAACGGAATGTTTTTTGGATTCGGAAGATATTTGTGACAGATATTCGAATATGTCTTTACCTTCCTTCTTTGAAAAAGAAGGGGGGGGGTGATACATGAGGCACGAGCGGCCAATTCATTAGGTACCCTTCAGTTTGCTGCCTTGCCAGCCTCCTACCATAAAATAGGCGACAACCAACTTAACGTTGACCTCCAAGTCATTAAAGGTAATCAACTTAGCTGACCAGCTAATAATATAATAACTCAAATATGTATATAATAATAAAATAGCTAATATCCTAGATTTTCATAGCTAATATGTAGTGTGTGTGTGTATATATAAAAAAAAAAAAAAAATATATATATATTTAAAGAGAAAAAAAGAACGTCTCCTATTTTTCTCTATTTTGGCTAAAGAAATTTCTCTCTTTTGGCTAAAGCTATTCTAATGGAAATGTAAGTTTTATTCTAAATCTTAAAAACACGTAACTGTGTCTCATTTCAAAAGGAGGTCCTTATGATAACGGCTGTTAAATGCTAATTTGTTTATGTAAATCTTTGACTTTGATATGTTGGAATACTCACCATCTACATTTAGAGTTTATATTTACCCATTTCGGTCTATAAAAGCAGTGTTGTGTTTTGGCCAATACTTTATACATTTTGACAAAGTGACAGACTTTGTGCAAATTATCGAAACAAAAAGTTTTTTCTTACAGCTTACAGTATATAATATATATTTTCTCCTCTACAATACACTTTCGAAAGAGATGATTATAATAACATTAATGTAAACTTTCGCAGACTTTGAATTTTTTCTTAAATATATCTGGATGGTTTCCCGTTGAAAGAGGTTTTTGTAAGATATGATGTGTCTAAGGTTTACTGCATTAAAATTTTACCATAAATGTTCCCTAATAGTTCTACTTTCTTATCTAGAAATTTCGGAAAGAATAGACATATCAATTAAATCATAAAGTAGAAATAGTTTTCTTGCAGTTTTACGTATATAAATAGATTATATAATTCTTGCCGTGAACTGCAATGAAAAATAATAAATCATATATTGGTTTCACGTTTAACCTTAGATATCAGAGACAGATGTCATTTTGTTTTTAGTCAGTATATAATTATATATGCATATCATAGTTACTGAAAATTATCAACAAAAAAATAATACAAATAATAATAAAACTTCTGGTATATAAAATTGACACAGATCAATATCTGTGTCTACTTTATATCAATGTCCACAATATCCATACCAATGTATGGATCGAAACCTAATATATATGATGACTCTGGTTTAATTCATCGACGTAATTAAAGCATTTTGGAAAATAAATTATTGAGAATCTTAATTTCTTACTAAAGGCTTAAAAAGTAAGGCCTTTTAAATATTAAGCAATGGGTTATAAACACCTTAAAAATATATATATATATATATATATATATATATATATATATATATATATATATATATATATATATATATATATATATATATATATATATATATATATATATATCGGTTAAACCTCACTATAGTCGAGTTATCCACGCAGTTCTACATTGAGACAGGGATTTCTATCGACACGATGAGTTAACTGGTTTATAAAGTATAATTGAACAATTTTGGCAGAATCCTTTATGGAAGTGCCATCTTATGGGTTTCTGTCTCTGCTTAGTATGCATATATGTATAGGTTAAATTGTCACAATTTAATAAATCCATGTATTGATGGCCGTTAAATTGGTTTCATCTTGGTTGCATTCAATAAACATATTTATAATTTCAGCTATTTTTGTCTCAAAAAAAAAATGCTTTCTGCACCACATTCATTAATTTGCAACCATCAGTTCTTTAAACATCTACGTATAGAAAAATCAAGATAATACATTCGGACTGGACGCGAATATAATTATACGATCAAACGAACTTACCTGAAGTGAAGTTCGATCGTAATTATATGAGGCGTCCAGTCCGAATGTATTATCTTCCCACCCCTCCCGTTTTGCCCCATGGTCCCTTGAATTAATGAATAAATCTTTGAAAAATGAATACCGACCGCCGCGCCAGGGCCGGCCGGCGCGACCACCTAGACTGGTATCGGGAGGGAATTTAGCTTATAGCTTTAAAATTGTGCACGCAGGGACGGTACTACGTATAGAAAAATCAAGATAATACATTCGGACTGGACGCCTCATATAATTACGATCGAACTTCACTTCAGGTAAGTTCGTTTTATCGTATAATTAAGGTTGCTATCCCTCAAACAAAGATTTTCCTAGATATTTTCATTTACATGATTTGATCTAAGTAGATCTTTATTATTTGATAAAATCTAGGTGGCTGTGATTATGTCTCACGTTACTTCAGCATAGCTGTCAAATTAGTCCAACTTTAACAACTAGTTATCATTTTGTGTCAGTTAAAACAAAAAAATTTCTTAGAAATTTACCGAAAACGCAAACTTATCCTACAACAGAAAGAATTGATATGATTCTCTTAGTTGGTGAATGCAGTGTGCATTCACCAATTAATAGAATACTTCAATGTTCCTGATTTTATCTAGTCTGGATTTTTTATGGTGATATGCATATGATATGATATGAAAGACAGTGTTTACAAAACTCGACCAACTATTGTCAACAACATGAGAGAAATTATTTTAGCTGCTTTTCGAGGCAGAATTCCACATATGGCCTTTTAAAATGAAAAGATCCTTTTGAAAAGACGATCATTCTATTCAGTTAACAGGAAAGGAAGCATTTTGGGCATTAGATTTCATCTAGCTAATTTTTGTCACATTATTATAGGTTTATAGCCGTTGTATTCTCTGAATAACCTTTAAATAAGTCTAATACCTGTTATATTTTTTTAAAATTAAAATTTTTAAGAGCATGCGTATAACAGTATATTGGCCAGTACTACAACCAATTTTATGCTTCTAATATTTTAATATCCAGTGGCGCGTTCCTGAAGTTTCCACCTTGACTTTATTTGTGCCTACTACAATTACACACTTTCTAACAAATATTACTATATTTTTTAGCAAATCACTGAAGCAAATGTAGATTTACTTAAAATAAAAAATATATTTTCAGAATAATTTCGACCATGTTTTTAGAACACTTATTGGTATCGTGTTGCTTCAGATCCGTTTCGGTTCATATCAGACTATAGTTAATTAAGTTAGTAGTGGTTTATGATGTAACTTCCAGTTGCATTGTGTTTCTTTGTTTCTAATATTATGAAAAATATTCAAGAAATAAACCTTTTTATAGAATGAATATGTATGTATTATTTTTGGCATATTTACAATAGATTTTAGAAATTGAAAAAATAGGACGTCAAACAAATTTGTACGGGACGACATCTGTTAACTAGTATCTAACAAAACACCCTCTCAAAATATTTAATAATCCAGTTCGAAAACAATCTAATCCGGTCACAATAAGCATCCATTAAAGTCGCTGTTGACATTCTATTAAGTTCACCCCAGGTACGCCCAAAAGTTAATCATAACAACCCCTCGTTACCAGCAATATTCTGATCTGCAGGAGGCTCGTCCTGCCTTCCCTAAATAAGGGATGCTCCAGTCGTTGTTTTGAGGAAAAAAGGGATTAGAACTTGATAATGAGGTTTCCGTTCTGTTTTTTCTTATATATATTTTTAGGTAATTCCGGGAAATGAATATACCTATATCCGAAATTTTGTGTTTCATATTTTTGTCGAAGTCAAGTTAGCGAATCACTTAATTAATATTATATTTAAGTTTTTACATAAACTGCTAATGAACATTTTTTTAAGAGGAAATATCTCATCTTTCCATGGCTAATTTTTCTTGTGAAGTATTCTTTTGTGTAGCCATTATGAAATAGTCATGTCGGCCAGCGCGATCCCGTGGCTTAAAACGGGGGCGGCCAATCAAAAGGGTGAAATTTTGACACCAAAAATATTATAAGGTACACGCGTTATAGTTGCCAAATAGCTTTTATTTAATGTTAAGAAACGTAGAAAATTGTTAGCAGACATTTTTCTCGTGGCTAAAATGCCGGCAGACACCGTGAAACAGGCATGAAATTTTGACAAAAAAAATCATGCGTGCCGATTGGTGGAATGTCATGTTTATTTATTTAAAAAGCCGTATGCAAAAGGGAAGACAAAAAAATCGTGGCTCAATCAGCGATACACGGTTATCAAAAGCCCGATATTACTCTACAGGGTGAGTATTGAATAACTGCAAATATTTTCAGAGCTGGTAGATCTCGGAAAAAGAGACATATTTTTTAAGAAACATAAGTTTCCAAACAAGTCCAAAATAACCAAGTTATTTAAGTTTGAAAATTTAAAAAGAAATTGATTTATTTTTAAATAATTTTGAGAACCACCTGTTTTTTTTTTGTATTTGCATCCATGTTTTTAGTGTCGTAACCATAGACATATAAAGCCGTAAGCATGGTATGTTAACAAATAATTATACCGTAGGTAAATTTGCGGTGAATAGGTAGT